ACGTGAACTCCAGAATACGATGCGCCAACCATGATAGCAGTCATTGTGGATCCCTAGCTCTCATAACCCAAGTCCAGAGTGTGCAATCGGTCCTTGATTTATTCCATTTGTCTAATGCCCATATATCGCCGAGCATTCTTTCATAGACGCTGTTTCATCCTATCTTCTATCTTTCATCTCCCAAGCCATACACTCAATCTTAGCCTTTACTTTGGACCTTAGGTGAAGCCGCCGTGTTTGTGAATGTTTCACAGGAAAATTTATTACATTGATTTCAATGAGTATACTTCGCTGTTACAGACATATTGTGCATGCCACCAAAAAAATTTCGGGATACTTGACTGGCCGTAGCCATTTCCTGAACTGAAATGATGCGGAGAAGAAACATGAAGAGATGCTCACAGCGGTTAGGTGAATGAGGTGTCTCTGGACTTCCGGGATGGTGTTGAGAAAAAGGAACTGGATAACGGGAAACTCCAAAGGATTTGCTCGCGGAAAGGTCGCGGCGGTCGTTTAATTGTTCCTCCTTATGAGGTTAAAAATTTGAAACAAATGTACACAATGTGCGATTGCGCATTGTCTGTTGGCCGCAGAGGCTTACTTCCTTGGCGTTTCTTGTAACACACCAACTTCCGATATAGTTACCGTACTTGTACACACTTTGCATATGTTGCGAGTCTGATAGTGACTAATGAAGTTCAATCCACAGTACTTTGCTGTATGATTATAACTACATGAACTCACTAATGAAAGCTGCATGAACACGCCAGTTAATTTTATAAACTGGAACTATGGCACTAGGAGCGAAGCAAACCCGCATGAACGTGGTACAGCGGGTCTCTTTACATGGAAATAGGTTACGCATCTTGATTTTCTCACTCAGAGCAATAACTGTATTTTTCTATATCGTACCCAGGAACGTTTACATAAATTGCCTTCGATTTACCTAGACAGCCTATGAAGTCTAAATTTATGCTGATAGATTGACGAGGTAGAAGAAATAACGCAACAAGGATCGAAGGAAGATAACGTATAGCTAAACATTTTCTATGCTTACCAACAAGTTCCCGATGAAGCTGTCGCCGTTCCTCGATTTTCTCAGAGATTTGTCCTTTGAAGAATGAGAGCAAGGTTGGTAGAAATGCGATAAAACTATAAACTCCTTTACAAATCGCGAATGGCAAGATATCGTGCCATTTCGGTTTGGGGATTTTATTCAACTGTTCGGCAATTTGCAAATCGATTTGTTCTCGCTTGCGATCGCGAGCTTTATGACGTTTCAACAATGTGCTTAGTTGGTATTCCTGAATGAGGCTTGAAAACCTGAAACGGATTAATTACCAGAGTAAGCGATTTTTCGAAACGAACGCCCCAAAGCACGGCGTAGTGCACAACGGTACACAGTACGGAAAATAGCACAAACAGTTCTAGATTGGACATTCTGCGAAGCTTTCGATAGTAATAAACGGTAGTCTTCCAATCCGGTAGACCATTTACAAGCACGTCGTCATACCTGCATATTGATAACGTGACAGACAGCATACCTCTGGCGTGTTTCCGGATCTTTCAGAATTTCATATACACCAACAAGCTGACGAAATTTTGCATCAGCATCGGGATCATCATGGTTTTTATCGGGGTGCATTGAAACAGACAATTTCCGGTAGGCTCGACGAATTTCGTTAATAGTGGCACTCTGAAAATTTGACAATTTTATGCGGCACCTTACCTTATCCACTCCCAAGTAGTCGTAGAAGCTCGTTTTAACTTCTTCTATCAGATCAAACATTTGCAAATCCATGGAATCCCAACCGGAAACCCCAACAGTCAACATATAGGTGATGAATAAAATATGAATGCCACGCAACATAGTACGTAGGGTTATTTTTGTCAGGACGTCCGCACTGCGCTTCTATCGTAATGTCAAGGTCAGGTCAGGGCAGGTTGCACAGGTCTGTTCAGTTCAACGTCCAATGTCCAATGTCCAGTTTACAGGCGGAGAAAGCTCGTTGGCTTGTAGTATTGCCTGTTTCTTGATCTATACGGTAAAGTCTGATCTTCGGAAATTTCTGTTTTTAATTCTTTTGTTCTTGTAATCTGAAAATGTGAGCAAAAAGAAAGGAAAAGAAACAGGTTAGTAGGGTGCTTCTTGTCGGTGTAGCAGTTTAGTTACCTGTTGTC